ACTGTTAAAGTACGACTGCCACATCAATGTAGAGATTTGCAGTAGCATTAAAAGTATCAAGTATCTATACAAATATGTGTACAAGGGCCGTGATCGTGTGGCTATGGAGGTTCACAAAGGACCATACATGGATGAAGTTCAACAATATGTTGATGCAAGATGGATATGTGCTCCCGAGGCATTATGGAAAATATTCCGCTTCACTCTTTACCGATTATATCCTTCTGTTGAAAGATTACATATCCACTTGCCGAACCGCCATCAAGTGCGCTTTTATGATCATCAGCGAATTATGGATTTGTTAAATAATGAATGCAATTCCAAAACAATGCTCACACAATTATTTGCTTTAAACCTAAGAGATCCAGAAGCAAGAAATTATCTGTATAGAGAGATTCCAGAGCATTATTGTTGGAATAATAGGGAGAAGGAATGGCATCGCAGACGGTCACTAAGAAGAGTTATCGGGAGAATCTATACGGTATCACCTTCGGAGGGAGAGAAGTTTTACTTGAGAGTACTGTTATCTCATGTCAGAGGTCTGACCAGTTGGGAATATCTTCTTACAAATAATGGCACTTCTTTCAGTACATTCAAAAAATCAGCCGAGGATAGAGGATTTCTAGAGACTGATCATAGTATTCATGATTGTTTGGTTGAAGCGGCGAGTCTCCGAATGCCATATGCTTTAAGGAGGTTATTCGTGATGGTTCTCATATTTTGTGAACCTACTGATGTTAGAAGCCTTTGGAATGAGTTTTTTACACATATGAAAGAGGATTATCGAACAACTAACAATGTTGTGGAATCGGTCTTGACTAATATGTTGTTGAAGGACTTGAATGAACTTTTAAACCTGCACGGTAAAAAGATTGAAGATTATGATCTCCCATCTTTACCCCTTGATACAGTACAAGGAAATTCGATTCCAAGTGTCATACAGGAGGAGTTAGCTGTCGATATCCCCAGTGAAGATATTGAATCTGTTGCGAAGTTAAATAATGACCAAGTGATTGCATTCAAAACCATTATGAATGTAATTGATCAAAAACACAGTGGGGTATTTTTTGTTGATGGTCCAGGAGGAACAGGTAAAACATTCCTTTATAGAGCATTAATGGCAAGTTTAAGAAGTAGAGGAGAAATTATTTTGGCAACTGCATCATCTGGTATAGCTGCAACGTTGTTACCCGGTGGTAGAACTGCACACTCTCGATTTAAGATACCTATCGATATACAACCGAGTTCTATTTGTGGTATTCAAAAGCAAAACGATCATGCAAATCTCATTAGGGTTTCTGCTGCAATAATTTGGGATGAAGCCCCAATGATAAACAAAAATTGTTTGGAAGCCTTAGATTGATCATTACGAGACATTTGTAGCAACAATGCTCCATTCGGAGGAAAAGTTATGATCATGGGGGGAGATTTCCGACAAGTTCTTCCTGTTGTAAGAAAAGGTACTAAGGCACAAATGATTTCTGTGTGTATTGTTCAGTCTCATTTATGGGCTCATACCAAAATTTTGCGATTGCGTCAAAATATTCGATCATTGCATGATCAAGAGTTTGCAGAATTTCTTATGCGCATTGGTGATGGTGTTGAACCTACCAAACTAGATGATATGGTGAGGTTGCCTTCACAGATTTCAGTCCCATGGGAAGGTGAACATTCCATACAAGTGCTTATACAACATATTTTTCCTGATTTAGAATTGCATGGTTGGGATGCTCTTTATATGGTACAAAGAGCTATTTTGACCCCAACAAACGATGATGTCCAAAAATTGAATGATATAATTATTGACCAGTTTTCAGGAGAAGAACATAATTTGTTGTCATTTGACGAGGTTGAAGGGGATAATAATAATTTATACCAGCAAGAATTCTTAAATTCAATTGCACAAGGTAATTTGCCCCCGCATATTCTAAAGATAAAATAGGGTGCACCATTGATGTTGTTGCGAAATCTAGATCCTAGATATGAGCTCTGTAACGGGACGGGGTTATTATGTCGTGGGTTATATATGAATATGTTGGATGTGGAAATCTTGATAGGAAACAACGCAGGAAGACGAGCTTTCTTGCCCAGAATTAAAATAAAAACATCGGCCAGTGATGGGTTGCCCTTTGTCCTTAGCAGTTTCCTGTGCGACTAAGTTTTGCAATTACAATAAATAAGTCACAGGGACAAACCATCCCAAATGTTGGAATATATCTTCCACGACATGTTTTCAGTCATGGACAGTTATATGTGGCTTTATCTAGAGGTGTTTCACAGACTACAACAAAAATTTTATCCAAGGAAGGAAAATTGGAAGGAGAAGATGGTGACTACGCAAAAAATGTAGTATTTAAACAAATTCTTTTATCGCACCCGCAGGTATCATTACGTACATTAAACAAATAATCTCACACATCGATTCCCATTTGTACACGAAATACCAATATTATATTGTATTCTTTATATGATAAAACTAAATATAACTAAGTATAAAATTGTGTGGCTTTGATATACAGTCAGACTAGAACACAATGAAGTCTTCCAATTATGTAAGGAGCTGAGACGGAAGAATGTTGAAACTTGCTTCGACATAAAGGTAAGCTAGACTTAATCCTTTATTTTATGCTTTTAATTATAATCAATCAATTGTATCATACTTATTCTCACTATTCTTATACGGAATAAACGTTAGATGGGGGACTTTAAAGATAAATGGAACACATGGAAGGATGAACAAACAATTTCATCCATCGACAAGCTAGACAATAAGGCGCATTTACCTTTTTCGCAACATGTATAAAAAAATATGTTTGTTGCATTTTCACCACTCTTTGACCAACACTTTTATCATCCTTATAAAAACAGGTCAAGCGTCTAAAAGTTTACTCTGTCGGTTGGGGCTCCACAGTGATAACAGATAAAACACAACTTTGGAAAATGGTGAAAAAAGAAATAATATCTCAAAGGATGAACAGGTTTTTATTTTATTCATTTAATAATATTTAGGTCCAGAGAATATTTTTGAATGCATTAATTTTACTTTTATTATTGGTTTGTGTAAGTAAAACCATGTATATTCACTAAACTCATTGTTTTCCATTTTTTTACCAGAAATCAACGTAATTCAAAAATAAGTCACAGTTGTTGTTCTACCAAATGTGAACTAAAACAAAATATTTTCATTTTTCAGGTATACATTTATTTATGGTTCAGTACACCAGATTATAATCAAATAAATCACATATTTTGAATATATTTGTTTGTTGATATGACATTTCACGATGTATTTGTAGTTTTTTAAAGCTCAAGAGCGCATCGATAAAGGGATGTATGAAGAATTGATTCAAATCTTTACAAGGTAGAAAAATAATATATTACACTAATTACTATTACTTTCACTATATTTTTCCCTAGAGCAACTCTAATGTAAGAGTCTTACATTTTTTCTTTACTACGGAAAACAATTGCAGGGAGAGAGAAAATTCTCAAGATAAAGATTTTATGTTCGGCCTTCCTCTTAAGGAACGTTATTGATTACACATTATAATTAATACTTTTTGTTCTTCAATTATTTAATATAATGTAGAATAACTTTGTTTGTTATTATCAAAATGTAATAATATTATTAGCATGTTTAAACAACGTATTTTTTAATCTAAATTTTATTTAATTCGGTATGTTTAAACTAATAGTAGCATTAATGTATACTTAATTCACTAAAATATTTTTAGTATATATATATTTATCATCTTGATTTTATTACTGCTTGAGCATATCTAAAAACAAATGCATTTAATTAATCTTAACTATGATAAAAACTTCATACAAAATATACACGCGTTTATTTTCCTATGTTGTGCGCATTAAAAAAAGCGGGCAGACGGGCACGGGAGTGTCCGTCTGAACGCTAGTGTGTGTGTGTATATATATATATATATATATATATATATATATATATATATATATATATATATATATATATATATATATATATATATATATATATATATATATATATATATATATATATATATATATATATATATATATATATATATATATATATATATATATATATATAAAATCAAAAGAAACACGTTAAAGAGACATTTTAGAGTTTTATGTGTGGTTTTTTTTTAATAATTTTTTTTCCATTGTCTCAAGAAATTGGACTCTATTTATATTCAATTTTTAGGTCAACTTAAAAGGAAAAATGCATCAAGAAAATTCAAAAAATTATTTGCTCGGATTTTTTAAAAATTATTGCAACCATTTTTTTTTATTTTTTAAATAAATTTAATAAATAACTACTAAATAAAATATCCCTATAACAAATATTTTTAAAATTTAACACAAAAAATAAAATAAAAAAAACAATTAAATCATCCAAATATCTACCTTAAAAGCCCCAACAAAATTGGTGTACGACACTCCCAAAAAAAAAAATTATTAAATTTCTTTTCAAATTTTTGTTCATAAGAGACTCCTAATTATCTTGTAAATCCAAATCTTTTCTCTCTTCTTTCTTTTTTTAGATGGGATGACTAAATCTTCTATTTGGTTGTACTCTACAAAAATGTCACATTTCTTTGCCCCCATTGGTGTCCGGAATCTTTATGAGGAAGAAGTTGTTTGTTGGTCGCTCTCCTCATATCATTTTGATATTTTCTCCTTTTCCTTCCTCTTCAAACCCCTTCACTATTTTTGGCCATTATTAAGAGTTGCGTTTTTATTATGAATAAATAAAAACACTATTTTATCCATTTAAAATAATGTTTTTATTTTATTTTATTTTTATGTTTGGTCTCAACTAAGAATGATTAATATTGAATGGGTGAGTGCAAAGAGTATAACAAGTATAAGAACATATTAATCCCTCAATCTCATTTTATAAATAACATTTTTAAATCACAAAGTGTACTAATAAAAAGTTGCGTTTGAATTACATATTACATAACAAGAAACAACACCAAAAACATAAGGCATGGCAATAAAATTTAAGACATATTACATCTTGGTTTGATCTCAATTGGGAGACCCAAAGATGGATATGGCATTGGTTGACGAGTAATAGTTTCGTTTGGATTCAGTTGAGACCATTCGTACAACATCACAAAATTGTGAATGGTAGTTAATGTCTTAACCCTAGCAAACTCATTTCCTATGCAATTATGAGATCCTGCACCAAATGGAAGGTAAGAAAAGGGTGGGATTGACTTGGTTTGATTTTCAAAACGAGATGGATCAAACTTGTGTGGATTCTCGAATATATCTTTGTCCATATGTGTTCCACATGATGCCCAATATACCTAAACATGAAACCAATTTAACATTAATCTTATGTACAAAAATAGTAAGAATAACCATGAAGAACAATTTAAACATATAGTGTTTGGTAACAAAATCGGCCAAAATTCTAAGTGTTAACAATTTCTATGTTGGATCAGTTTATACAGAGCAAAATTCTGACTTTAGATATGGTCGGAAAAGTATACAATATGATTGATCTCTTCGGATTCATCAATTCTAGAATCAGATATCGAGTTTTTAAATAATAAAATCGGCCAATTGCCCTTACTTTCCAAATATAGAGAAGCTGCATTTTTTATTATTATTTCAAACTTAGGGTTTACTATATAAATACTACAATTCAAATTACGACAATATACTTGAGCGGTACCGCAAAACCTTTCTTGTACCTTTCAGTCACAATTTAAACGGTTCGGTTCAGTTTGAGTGAACTTTTACTATGGTTCACTTCGGTTCAACTTTAGTTGTAGTTTTAAAACGATGAAAAAACATGACCTACCTGCCACCCTTTTGGTATGTCATATCCTTGATAACTAGTATCTTTAAGTGCTTTCCTAAACCCACCAAACAAAGGAGGGATCATCCTCATCAATTCCTGAGCAACTCTCCATGTGTATTTCATCTTTTGTATCTCTCCCCATGTTAACCTCTCTTCATTTCCTTTCCTTTGCTTTAAAATCTCCATTTGTTCTACATAAAACAATTCACCAAAACATTCAAACCACATAGAATATCACACAAATAGAATAACCTAAATAACAAACTAGTGCTACCTTCTAAAACTTTGTTATAAACCTCTTGATCTCTTGATAACTTCCATATCATCAATGTCATAAGAGTAGCAGATGTGTCATGGCTTGCGACAAATATAAAAATAAAATTGTCGGTAATTACGTCATCCTCTAGAGGTTCATCATTTTCATCTCTTATTGCAAGAAGACATGAAAGCATGTCATTGGAAGAACTTAGAACTCCTTTTGATAATTCTTGTCTCCTTTTGTTCATAATAGGAAGTATCTTTTCCACAATTCTTGCCCTAGCTTTTTGGCCTCTCCAAAATGATGTGCTAGGGAGATTTACTGGGAGAGAGTGAATTGCTTTAAATGATGTGAAAAAATCATCAAATAGAATCTCTCTTGTGGGTTGATCTATGTCAAATAAGATATTAGATGTCATGTCATAAGCCAGTTTTTTCATCAACCTCACAACTTCTATTGTTTTGTTCTCTTTCAATTCTTTTAGTAGTATTGTGTTCACTAATTCATCCATCTTTGTGACATAGTTTTGAAGGCATTCAGGTTTCAAGAATTTCAGCATTTGACCTTTGACCAACCTGTGCCTGCATGAAAAATAAACAAAAAGCTCAAATAAGATGGCTTTATTATTCTTTCCATCAACAACTTAATCTCTGTAGCTCAGACATCTTTGGAAAAAAATGTGTCTGGGTAACTATCCTTCTTTGAAACCGACACCAACAATTGTTATTGCGTGTGATTTAATTTATTCATTTTCAAATTATTACATGTATCGATGTGTCGGTGTCGATCGGTAACGTGCTCAAAAGAAAAAAAAAAGTGCTCAAAAAACTATGAGTCATACTCAATAATCTTCAATAAATATCAAATCTCAACGAATATTTTCTCCGTAACTTCCACATTCTAGTAATTGGGAGGTACAAAACCATATGAAAGACCATATTTCAAAGTGTACTCGTTTGAATCAAGATCATAAGTAAGGTTTTATATTGTAATTGTGGATGAAACCGTTATATTGTACAAAGTTGACTAATCTCTAATAAAACATTTTTTTTAATATAAATAAATTATTGATATTTATAAAGCAACATCTTCAAAAAAAAAAAAATTTGATTGCTCTTCCAAATGAATTTATTCTTTGGCTTGATAACAAGATCATAAGTAAGAATTTAAGAATATGTACCTTGATCCTACAAGTTCAGCTATGCTTTGCTTTCCAAGTATCTTTTGAAGAGTTGTAGGTTTCTTAGCAGAAATAACATCATCCGAGGAACCAAGAACAAACTTGTTTCCTTGTTGTCCAATAATAAACACCGTTGGAGAACCCATTAAGGAGGTTTTAAAGACAGAACCATACTTAGACACTCTTTCTTGTATCCACTCATAGCCCTTGTCTTGTCTCTGAGCTCTAAGAAAATCAAGTGTCTCTCCAATAATAGGATATCCAAGAGACCCTTTTGGAACATTTTTTGTTTGACTTTTTGAGAGAATTTTTTTGAGGACAAAAGCTAAACTCAAAGTTAGTATACATAAACCAATGAAAGGAATATCCTTAACCATTTAAGAAGTTAGATGAGAGAGTTGAGATCATTTAGTGTAGTGCCAAACTTAGAAGATAGAGATCATATATGGTTTCTTTATTACTTTATGTCACCAAGAGACATTGGAATAAAGAAGACATTTTTATATATTTCATTTTTGGTACCAATAATCAAATGAATAATTTAATTCATTTAGAAGTACACATCGCCATAGTTTTTGATTTTAACCGTCTGATTTCAAATCAACACTTGAAATTGTTTGATGTTAATTTTATTATTGTGTAATCTGAGTCGTTCAATCTCAAATTATCAGGATAGATCACTTATCATGAAAAAATGAATGGAGTTATTAATACAGATGATCTAAGGTAATACGGTAAATATTTATTCCAGTTTAACCAATGATTTTGCGTTCAAATTCAGTCTTAGACACTCAACAGAGTTGAATCTCCTGAAAAACTCGACTCGAATCAAATGATTAGTCTCTACAAATACGTGCAGCAAATTCTCAATTTAAGCAAAAGATACTAATTTCAAAGTATGATTCTTTATTGTCTTTTTTTTTTATTAGATAATATTTATTGGATTAAGGAATTGGCCGGCAGATTTAGCAAGCTTTTAATATTTAAAATTTTCTTATTATATAATCTAATGCCTTGGTCTATACAATTTGTACAAACTTCTATTTGTCGTTTATAAATTGATTATTTCGATGCAAGTAAACGACATATTGAAGAAAGTGACAGATATCAAGAAAGAAATGATACAACTTTTAATATAAGTTAAATCAACTAGTTGATAGAACAACAACATAAGATCAAATATAAAAAGAAGACACAGTTGAAATAAACTATTTTTAAAGATAAATTAATTGTTCTTGTGTTCAAAGAGGGTGGTGGTGATGATGAGGAGTGAAAGGAGAATAAGTTGCAGACATGGCATAGGAGGCTTCACTGCTAGCAATAGAGAAAGGACTTGTTGGAGTTGTAGGTGTTGTTGGTCTTGATTGATGATGACCATAGCCTTTGTCACCATTTCTTCTTGGTCCTTTCTCAGCCCATTTGAGTTCTGTCTGCTTTACTGTACTTGGATATCTCCAATTCAAACATCCTAGTAACCCTGCTCTTTCTATGTACCTATGTCAACAAATTATGTTCCAAAAACCATTCATGTATTATGTTAGTTTAAGGTTATGGAAAGAACCTTAAATTTTCTTTATTAAAGTGACATTTATATAGAAAATTGTTAGCTTCAATGCCAACTTCAATCAGGGTTGAAACCCCGACTCTCGCAGTTGTGTGTGACTTCTAGTGATTATTACTACGTCAACACAAATATTCGAACCTGACTCTCATAATTATGCGTGTGAATTTCTAATGATTATTACTACGTCCGCACTAAGGTTCGAACCCCGACTCTCATAGTGTGAATTTCTAGTGATTATTACTACGACACTATCAAGGTTCGAACCCTGACTTTCATAGTTATGTGTGTGAATTTATAGTGATTATTACTAGGGTTGTATCAAGATTTGAACCTTGACTCTCATAATTGTGTGTGTGGATTTCTAGTAATTATTACAACGGCATCACCAAAGTTTAAACCCTGATTTTCGCAATTGTGTGTGTGAATTTTTAATGATTATTAAAATGCAGAGTTCGATCCCTAACTAACTCTCAGTTGTGTGTGAATTTCTTATAATTATTAATACTTCTTCTGTGTATTAAAAAACATAGAAAATTGTTACCTTTGGCTGAATCTCAGTCCAAGGCAATTAACACACTTTCTTCCTTCTCTTAAATCTCCCATACCTATTTCCACACACTGCTTGCAATAAACCCTGCCACATACCTTCATTGTCCAAAAGTTAAAATAAAATAATTTAAATAAAATGTAATATTAGAAGAAAAAATGGTTAAATCACAAAAACATAGTATCTCTAATTTATAAGTATAGGTATCAATAATAGTAACATTTCAAAAACATACCAAACATCTTGTCCTGAAAAAATAAACATAGTTACTGCAAATGGTGCAAATCTTAGAGTGAGGAATCCCCTGTCGTCTTCGTCGACCAACACCGCCTTTTCCGGAAGTCGAACTTGACTCACCACTCATAGTATCATAGCGCAAATTATACTCACTTGCCTTACTTGGAGTACTTTGAGGACCAACAACACCTCTATGACCCAAATCTTGATGAGGATTATAGTTGTCATTGGAATAAACCTTGAAGCCTTTTTTGAAGTCACGAATAGGTGACATATTCATAGGTGAAAGAGAAGGGGATTGTATACCTTGAGAAACTATGGTGTTTTTCTTAACATTTGGTAAGTCTTGAAAGGTTAGATTAACAGACTCATCTGGGATTCCTTGGTATAGTTCCTCAAGGTTTGGTTTTGGTTCCAAAATTTTTTTGTTGTGATCATCCATTTTTTTAGTTTCTTAGGATAAATGTGATTGTGTTTTAAATATTTAAGGAATGGTGAAATTAAGGTAAGAGGTGTGTGTAACTTGTAAGGCATGTTTCATGTTTGGTCCAATTGTGAATAAAAACGACCATATGTGTCCAAAGTTTATAAGGCCGGTTGGAAATTAAGAATAGATTATTGTCTTGAATATGTAGATTGGTCATTGATTGAGTTTTTGATACAAGATTTTTGTTGGGTCTTTTCAGTGTTTTGGAAAGAGTGGCCACTATGAAATCGGTGATTATATATACATTTTAAAAAATATATAATTTTGGCTCTCCATCATTTATTAATTACTTTGAGTTTTTTCTTTTTAAAGTAAGATAGCATTCAATTATTCAAATTAATATAGTACATTGATGAAAAGCAATACAAATTCAACTAAAAATAAAAAGAATGAAATTACGAACAAGACGAGAACATTCAAATTAATAGCATAAATTATAAATGTCATGCTTACATAACAATGTTTATTATGACAAAATTAAAATTAAAGTTTTTTTGAATACTCATGTTGAACCTCTACTTTGCATGTTAAACCTCTACCTTGCATTACAAGTAACCGGTTCACCTTAATTCCGAATAACCATGATTGTTTCTGTTAGTTCGTTTAACTTGCAATAGTGTAGAAAGAGAGTAATTTACACCCTTTTTTTTAATATTTAACATCTGTTATTAGAGGATGTGAATTCAACGGGTGAGAAATATCTGACAAATTTATACCCGTTTTAAAACGGATGTAAATAGATGTTATATTACACTATTTTTTAGTTAAAATCAGGTGTAAATGTTTACATATATACATTTATAGATGGTATATTACACCTTATTTTATAGAAATTGGGTGTAAATGTTTACATGTATAAATTTATAGATGATATATTACACCCTTTTTTGTTTAAAATGAGTGTATATATATATATGAAATATTACACTCTGTTTTAGAAAAAGGATGTAAATTCTTAAATAATTGCATTTAAATTAAACATATTTACTCTCCATTTGATAAATATCAGGTGTAAAATGAGCAATGTTTACTCTGGATATTGGAAGTTTACACCTTATTTTCTTTAAATAGGGTGTAATGTTAGTTTATGCGCGGTCTCAAAGAGGGGTGAATTAGATTTCTTGGACTTTTCTCTATTAGAAGTGTTAGCACTGATTTTGTTATTTTTCAAAAATGATATGAAAGTAAATATGCTGAAAAATAAATGCAAAAAGTAAAGGACACAAAGATATATTCTGGTTCCCCTCATAATCCGAGAGTACTCCAATCCCCTCACTCCCCGTGAGAGATTTCCACTATGTCAGATCTTTGTACAAGTCTTCCATCAACACCTATCCTACAATCTTCTAACATAAGCAACACAATTAATAAGGACAATCCCCTTATCATATTTACAAATTGCAATAAGAGAACAATCCTCCCTTATTCACTCTCATGCTTCCAACAATCCTAGACAGTAAGGAAACTACAACAATCTGAACTTTTACAAGTGTTTGAAGTTGTATAACAATTTATATCAATTCCTAGAATTGATCTTCTCTATCAAGTAGGCAATTCTTAATATGTAGTACAAGTTCTTAATGATTTATGTAGTTGAAACAATTTGACAATATAATGAAATTGATGTGCAAAAGTTTCAACAAAAAGTTATGTCAAGAACATTTGATTTTGAAAATGAGAGAATATAAGTTATGAATTGCTTGGAAAGGGAGATGGGTTTTAATTCTGAAAAGTATAGTTTATATAATGCCTTAACACCTTTCTAAAAGTGTACAAATACATGAATCATGCCATGGTTCAAAAATGCTTTCAAAAATTCGCTTACATCAAAAGTTTCTTGAAAAAGTGCCACTGGTTGAGTGTTAATCGATTAAAACATTTGCACTAGCAAATGGTTAATCGGTTAACTCCTTGCAACATAAAAAAACACTTCTTGATAAAATTATGCAAATTGTGGTGGTTTTAATGTGCTATTACATCGGTTCGAAACATAATAATTTACCAAAAAATTGAATAGTTAATTTAAAAATCATTTTAAAAGATTCATGAAAGGTTTAAGATGAATATGCATGGTTTTTATGAGAAATAAAGATATATATACTTGAATTGTAATGCATATTAAACCATCTTGATTCTTCCATTTATTTTTCAAAGCTTTTTGATAATTTGAACTTGATTGCTCATGTCTTCAAGCTTTGACTCTTCTTTTTGTTGATGTGTTTGTCTTCATCAAAACTATAAACTAGGACAAGAAGCGATCTTCTTCACATTCTCCCCCATTTTGATGATGACAAATCATTCTTTGAAATTTAACTTATTCATCAATGAGTTGCTTAAATATGTGACTTTTTGAAATATTTAGTAGTAACTAGAATTTCCCCTTATATTGTATATCTCCCCCTTGCATTTGCAATTCAAGGCTTTCTCTCCCGAAAGAATTGTAAACAATAACAAATACAATACCTACTATTTCTCCCCCTTTTGACATCATCAAAAAGAAGACAAAGTAGAATAAAGTATAAAGCAAGGTGATAACATAGGAAGAATATATTGTTATAATTGAAAATTAATATCATAAATTGAGACACTTATCTCTTTCATTAGAATTTGATGTCAAAGTTGATATCAATATTGATGCTTCTTCAAAACATCTTTTTAATCAAAGAAACTTTTAGAACTACCATATTGTATGGTCTTGTGTCTTGAAGGATCAACTTGATTTGACAATTCTAGCATATGACCTTCAAGTACCTACAAAACAATTAGTTACATCTCATGTACTTCATCACTTGAATGATGTAAGACCGTTAATGCCTTACATGCACGATCTTCATCTGAATATGAACTTATTTCATTTTTATCCCATGTTACATATGCTTTATGTTCCTTTTTGTGATTTTTGAAATTTTGTTTCTTTTCAAGTGTAGGACATTGTTTCTTGACATGTCCCTTTTTCCACATTCAAAACATGTAACTCTCCTTGTTGGTACTTCTTTGTGAATGATCTTCTTTTTCTTTTATTTTCTCAAGAACTTTTCAAATTTTTTAATAAGATCATCATCGTCATCACTGGATTTCTCCTCTTGATTGCTATCATGAAATTTAACTTTTGTCTTTAATACAACATCTTTTGAATCTTTTACTTGTATTTCATGTTGCTCTAATCTTTCAAGTTCTACTTCATGTTCTTGAAGTTTTCCGAACAAGGAAGCGGGCGTCATGGTAGAAAGACTCTACTTTTCTGATATCGCTATTGTTGCACCCCAAAATTTGCCCAACATTTCTTTACCTAGCTTATGTTTCATTTCATGCACATTAGCATTATCATTTGCATTTCATTGACATGTATGCAGGAGATCAAGAGGTATGATTACCAATCAAGGGAAACACAAGACTATGAAGCTAGCCAGAGAAGGTTATTCAAGTGTTCAAGGGTTGATATCTTTGTCAGAGAAGGTAGAAGATCCTCAGGGAGAGTGATTGAAACCAAGAATGTGGGCCTCCTAACTTGAGAGTTATGGGGAAGACCATTAGGTGATTCTGAGGCCATAAAGATGGATTTGAGGTCTTAAGAGAGCTCATGATAAAGTTTTGAAGATCACTTTGAGGCCTAGACAGGTCAGTGTACAAGATTAAGAAGCCTCAGCCATGAGTGGTGCAGCTAGGGTTTGACTGGGTCAACCCTAAGTCAACTAATGATTTGGAGAAGGTTGAGATCTAATCCAAGAGCCATGTGATCATGGATTGATACATTGAGATGTTATAAGGATGATTTCAAGGTTAACTCATCATGATTAAGGAGTTTGAGAAGTTTCAAGCTAGGGTTTCTAAGACTTGACAGTGTAAAATCCCCTAGTTTGACCCCTATCTTCAAGGAAATTTATCTCAAGATGTGATTGTCATCTCATCTTGCCCCCAACATGATTGTTGTAGAGCATGGTCTTAACTTTAATTTGAGTGCTATAAGTCCTTGATAGGATTTGTAGAACTCAAGTTATGACTCTGACAAGTTACAAGTCATCTGAGGAATGTGAATTTGGAGCTTGAAAGTTACCCAAATTGCATGACACGTTTGCCCTAGAAGGATGATTCCTATGAACTTTTGGTTAACATGAATGTTGTTCCTTATCCTCTTAGCTTTCTAGAGAGTACTAGAAGTCCTTGATAGGATTTGTAGAACTCAAGTTATGGCTTTGACAAGTCAAGGGTATTTTGGACATTTGGTGATTATAGGTCATTTGTGATCATAGGCCATTTTCACCAACTTAGAGGCCTCAAATGAAGTTTTGTTCAACTAGAAAGTTTCTCAAAATGGGGTTTTAACCTTGACCATTCATCAAGGAGGCATTGAAATGGCTCAAGGAGAGACTTGGTTCAAGAAATTTTGAAAAAGGAAGAATTAAAAGGATTTAATGGTCAAAAATTCACATAATTCATTTGGTGACCAAATGAGACAAACTTATAGGTCATTTTGATTGTAAAATGCATTTTAAAGACAATGGAAATGTTGGTTTTTTCATTTGAGGCCCCATTCAAAGATTTGCATTTGATTGCTTATGATGTAAGTTACATATGCCAAACTATACATGGGATTAAGATCAAGGTGCTAACTCATTCCAACACATCCAAAATGTCATCTAAGGAGAATTTGAACACAAAGCATAGTGAATACAAGCTGCTGCAAGAACTGTTATGAGTGTACCATGAGATTGAATTTTCAAAAGAGATGAGATATTGAACTTCTCATTAGATTGATCCAGAACTTTCTAGAGTGTTCAGTCATGGTCTATATAAGCATATGAAGTGATTCAGAGCACTGGTTGGTGAGAATTGAGAGGAAATAGAGAGATTGCATTTTGAATTTGCTCATTGCAAATCAAAATCTGTTACAGCCATTGAAGCCATTTCACTCCAAGTTCTTGATTCCAATAGCTTGCTCTAGGGTTAGAGATTGA